AGCCTGTTTGTTTATAATGTAATAGGCCCACTTCAGATCACCAGAAGTATTGTTGCCTCGTTCTGAATCTCAGAATATGGCGATGCGCATACCAAGAAATCGTGTCTATTTTGCGATCTAAATTGTAGAAATGATCAATGCCAGTCATTTCTAACCCCGAAATATAAAAACAGTGTTGCAGTTCCCCTTTAAGACACGATACACAGGTGTCTCGGACAGGTGATTTGAAAGGGGAAGAGGTGACAAAGTTAACCCAAGGATGAGAGAAAAACTAGCCCCTGGAACATGATCTGAAAGAATATGCTTTAGCACACTGATGGGATACTTGAGATTCTCACACACGGGGGAGAATGAGGAAGTGGAGCCAGGCTCCTTTGAGCCACTTGGCAGTTAACGCTTCACAGGCACTGCAGCCCTAGATCAGGAGGATCAGCGCCGATCGTCCCTCACCCAGAGCACTGCGTGCCCGCAAGCATCCGGGAGGTCACGGGCGGTCACTGTTTCACAGAGAGCTGACTAATTCCACCATACAGTTTGGGGCGTCCAGCTGCTTGGGGAATCCCAGTCACAGTCACACTGACAGTCACAGTCAGCTAGTGACGCGGCCCAAGCTTAAAATCGCGCACACAGGGCTCAACCTCTGAACAAGGCAGCACCTTTTGCGATTGAGGCACTTGACAGGCCTGGGTATGTGGGTTTAGTTGATTCTAAACTTCTAAAAAGAAAACCTGAAAGGTCTCATATTTGTCTCAGTTTAGTTTTCCTTAGTAATAATCTTCCATTGCTCTGGTCTTTGCTCTTGTAAATTGAGTACTTCAGAACTCTAGGACTTTTTCATGTGTATGAAACTGTATTATTTCAGCTGATAACATAATAAATGATAAGCATATCCTTTCTTTTGATTGGCTGCCTCTTTAAAAAAGTCATCCTGAGTTGCTAAATCAGACAACTCCACATCTTTATGAGTAAGGAACAAAAGTTCACCCCGAGAGCACTTGACTTTTGAAGAAGTGGCCACCTCAGAACTCACCTTGCCAAAGCTCCCCTTGCCAATAACTTTTAGGAAGTTAAAATCCGTCGGTTTTGCACTGTTTCAGATGAGAACAATAGAGCTTAAGATTAGGGAAGCAGGAAAAATATTTCGATTTAAACACACAGACTAAAAACATAACAGGCAGCTATCAAGGAAGTAAAAAAAAAAACACTGAAATGGAACTAGCGGTCTCATTCAGCCATGTTTGTACTGGCTTTTCTTTTTTGTTTACTTTAGTAATAAATTCCATGTTACACAGTTCCTCTAGAGCTACCAAGCTATAGATGAAATGACACATTTCATTTTACGGTCAGAAACCTTGACTTTGGAGTAGGAATGCTGAATGTCAAGCAGCTCTGCAAGAATTCATTTGAACTCATTCCCTTCTGGAATTACATGTGACTGCTAGTTTACTACACTAACCCGTTATTTTTATTCATTTGATGCTTCTATCCAAAGTAAGTCATTTGTTTCCGCAAAGTTACATAGCAGAAACAAAAAAAAGACATGATGTGTCCCGTGAGAAGAAGTACCCCAAGATGCATACACAGTATAGTGTGTAAAGTAGTTCAGGTGGGTAGCTACGTCAGCATGCGTACTCTGCAAAGGGACAAATAATAGGTTTATTCCATGCTGAAAAGAGAAGAGAGAAAAACAACATTTCAGCTGTGAAGCCTTTTTCAGGTGTGAAGGCTGAAAAAGGCTTTACAGCCCAAACGTTGCTTGCTCTCTTCTCTTTTCAGCATAGAATAAACCTATTACTTCTCCCTTTATAGTGTGTAAATATCCATTTCATAAAACAGAATAAGATAAATCACAACAAGTTCTAAGTTCTCCCCAGATACTTAACACATGAACATTAAAAATACAAGGACGTTTAAAAGAACTTGCAGCTTACTGAGGATTTCCAGATGGACCCAGATTAATACTGCGGGAGGTAGAATTATTCTAGAAGGATAAGAAAAAATAAAATAAAGATTACAATGTCACAAAGAAATTTAAGCCCTTAGGGCTTTACGGAACTGACGGTACATGAAAGATGTTCTAGGTTAAAAGGAAGCCAAGCTCCAAGTACTTAATCCATTTCAGGAGCAGATCCTTGGGTAAAGCAATGAAATCCACCGAGTTTCTTTTTTTTTTAAAAACAACGAAAGGGACTGAAAAGTAATTCATCTGGGTCAGCATTGGAGTGGATTGGTTTGTAGGTTGGATTAAATATTCAAACGTCTTCTGTGGACGTGAATATACTGTACACTACAGCACAAGAATCGAGACAAGTGCAGAGAACTCGCAAACTACTGTGACCATCTTACTGATCCTTCACAGTTATCCAAATCAGTTATGCTTTTCCGTGCTTTCCTGAATTTGGGGAAAAGTTGTTTTCTTCCCATTTGTGGACAATTTATTTCGGTAAATTAAAACAAGTCTACGGAGATATCCAATTATCCAAGAAGGAGATATACCCGCATGCTGGGAGGTTCCCAATCACCAAATACCTTTTCTTCTTCATCCTCAGAAGCATCAGACAGGTTCTTTGCTTTGTCCATCTGCAGAAAGTCTCTCACCTCGGGACTGTCAACAGAAAGGACACGCTGCTGTCAGACGTGATCAACGATCAACGAGATTTGTTTGAAATAAAACTTTGGTAAAAAAGTGACGGATCTCAAGCCTTGGGGAATTATTTTTCTTATTAGGAGATGGAGAGTGGAGGTTAGGTTTAAACTAAATTTCCCTAAATGCAGGGAAGATCTATGAAAATGCACTTTTCAAAATGAGGGGCATAAGAAAAAAATCTCTGGTTTAACACATTGTTCACTATATTAGAAGTAGCATATTAACCTGTAACCAACAAATGTAAACAGCATCTGGATTGTAAACAGGCATTTTATACAATACTGCTTAATCTCTCCAAATAACAGGGAGGGAGGACACTTTTATACAGATAAAATCCAGGGAGTTCCCTAGTGCTGTAAAATAACACACCACAGGAAAAACCAGGGAGGGACATGTAGATGTATATAGCACATCTAGCAATTAATATCCAAACCGCAGACTGTTTCTTTGCAGCTTGTTTTTTCAGCAAAGCAACAAACAATTAGACCAGAAAAAAAGTATTTTCTTTTATTTGCACTGTTCACCTAGCAGGCAAAGTAGTCACATTATGTCTACTGGACTTATTCACTCACTGGAGAGTGGCACACATCCTAAAACATTATTTCTTTGATCTCTCACTGCCTTCTGCAAACTGCAACTGTCGACTTAAGAGTGCACCACGGCAGAAATTTAGAGGAAAGTTATTTAACGGGACCGAAAAACAACCATGGATGCTGAGTTTTGCTGTGAGGAGCACCGGGACACTTTTACATAATCCAGTTTATGGCCCTGATCATGAAACGACTGCTGAAAACAGAAATCACTGTAAACAACTCACAAAGAGGATGCTGTGGTTTAAATTATAACTGATTTTAAGAGTAACCACAGAAAATGCAGACAACCGTCAGTTTTATTTAGGCTTCAGTCCTGGAGTGATGATTTGATATAGTGGACATACCTGTGGTGAGAGATGTTTTATGGTATTGAGGACATACAGTATAGAACCCTTGTGTGCATATGGTGGAGGGAAACAGACAGGCAATACTATTTTGTATTAAAAATAAAAACAAATTTTGGCAATAGCTTTACATCTGAAAGATTCCATTTCTGCCCATTATTCCACTAACTCAATATCCATGATACAGACCGCCTCTTCCAATGAGGTGAATACTGGCAGACACAATAAAGCACACGAGGAGAAATGAACAGGTCCACCAAAGCCTTTTCAAATACTGGGGTGTGCTGAACTGCCAAGTTCTTGAATAATTTAAAAATGCAAATTGTGTTTTCTCCACATACCCAACATACTGCCAGTAAATATCTGTGAGAGACGAGGACAGAAGAAAGATACTCACTGAATGCTCAGCTGTGGATGCGAGACTAGCCTCTGGATGAATTCATGCAGCCCGCTTCTTCTCTGCTTTATGAATTCTGATGGAGAAGATGATCGTGGTTACAAAACTGAGGTCACCCCAGCACATTCCCCTATCTTTACTACCTCAGACAGACGCCGTGAACTGCTGCAGACTTAAAAACAAATGCAATCCTGTGATCAATGGGGAACTTTCATTGTCAGCCTACTGTACCTTCCAAGTTTACAATGAGGAGAATCCACAAAACAAAAGCCTTCAAAGGCTGGTTGATGCAGGCTCCTAAAAATCACACCAGACAAAAAGCTGGCGGTGGGTCTAGTCGCTTGCAGCTTTCGGTGTATTACAGCCACACCTCACTCCTCCTCAGAGCCTCCTATTCCTAAAACAAGCGTTCTCAACACTTAATTGTACACACAGACAGAAACCTATGATTCCCAACATCTGTGTCCTTTAAAGAAGCTGTGATGCCTACATGAATTATGCAGAAGCTCGCTTGTTAATGGTCCTCCAGTTTGTAAGATTCAAGAGCAAAGAAAACCGGCAGTTTAACATGCAGCAGATTTGCATTTCAAAAAGACTGAACTGTACCTGCAAAGGCCTATAAGTACCCCCATCTTCTGTGAGCATATCGGCTCTTTCTTGCTGTGCACTGCATTGTAATCTTCTCTTTGGGATCAAAAATGGGATATTACTCTTCATTTTCCATGCTGTAAGCAATAATGCAACTCCACCCATTTTCTAACTGCTTTAGCCAATACAGGGTTGCGGGGGAGCAGGAGCCTAGAGCCTATCCCAACAAGCAACAGGTGCAAGGCAGGGTACACTCTGGATGGGACGCTAGTCTGTCGCAGGGCACACACAAGACACACGCACACGAGGGCCAATTTTCCCAGAAACTCATGTGCATTTGGAGGAAACTCACACAAACATGGGGAGAACATACAATCTCTGAGTAGATACAACCCCAGATCTGCAATTGAACCCAGACTCCAGTGCTGAGAGGAGAGCAATGCTAACCACTAACTACTGTGGTGTAGTTATTGCTTAATAATGTAGCTATTGCTTAATAATCTCATATGTAATAATAACCATTTGTTAACCACTCAATATTTCTTTACCTTTCTTCCAGAAAGAACACAAAGCAAGGTCTTCACAAAAAGCACCTTTCAGCACAAAGGAAACTACTCCTCAAACTACTCAAAAATCAATGATCTCAGTCAGTAGAAATAGTTTCCATATCCCACATCTCTTTCCATAGAAACCTAAGAAGGCCGAGACTGTGCCTTTCTTACATGAAGAGCAGATGAATTTTGTTATGTTGAATTTTTTTTAAAAAAAAGAAAAAAAAGAAAAAAAAAAGGTAACTTAACGGGGCAAAACAACCAAGAATTCCGGAAGTCCCCAAACAGAATGTCAGCTCTGATACACTCACAGGAAAACTTGTAACAACATACAGATAACATAAATACCTGGGTCAAAATTGTCCCCAAATATTCTCTTAGCTGGGATCTTCAAGTTCATGGAAGGAAACTGTTTCCTTAACTAGGAAGGAAAAATGAAAAAGAGAAACTTTAAAGGCAAGATAAATATGATGGTGGACTGAAACAGAAAGAGGGCTATTTTTACACAAAAATTACAGCCTCCATTCTCCATGTGCCGGCACTTCAGATACCCTGACTCTGATACTAGGAGTTTGAATTTTAAATTGGAAGGTCCAGGAAACACAAGTGAGTTACCATTCTTTTCTTTGAGGTAGCTGGACCACAACTAACCTTCAGATCTTCCCACAGGAATTTCCTTAGTAAAGCCTTTCCGCCAAAACATTTTAACCCTCCCCTTTCCCATTTTAACTCTCCTTCTTTCCTTCTTTTTCATCCTGTTGCTCCCCCCCCCCCAATTTATTTTTATCTGCACAACTTCAAACAAAAACAACATTTTACCCACAATGCTCCATTATGTCAACAGAGTAAAAACAAGCCTTTACAAGCAGCCTCAGATGTTGATTTACTACAGAACACTGAAGCTCTCAGTGTAACCATTTCTCTAAACACAAAGAAAATGGTCTTTAACCCAGGTAGGAGCAATTAAATACTTATTTCAGCAGTTAAACTGCTATAAACATTTAGCACTAATGATGAGGGGATCATGAGGATACCTTCCCCTTGATAAAATATGCTGTGAGAAAAGTATTCAGATGGGGTAGCAAAACTGTCCTCAAATTCTTTAAGCACATTGTCTCAGAACACCTACAGTCTTAATAATAATAAACTTGATTTTGTATAGCGCCTTTAAAGGTGGCTTCTCAAAGCGCTTTACGTCTTCTCAAAGACACTTCTCAAAGTGTCTTCACTCTACAGGCGCCTATACCAGACATGTTAAAACAACTTTCACCGTTCCTTTTTTCTCCTCTCATACGGCATTCACTATGTTTTTCCCCCATATCTAAGGAGGTAATGTCAGGACAACCTCTATAAAACCAAATAGTTTAGAAGTTTTCTATGTTTTGTAAACAGAGCAATCCTTTTCATTACCCCCTAAACCTAGCTGGCGCACACAACCACAGATGGTCTTCACGTCTTCACAAGAGGGCTGGCTTGCCTTCACCTCTTGGGTTCACAGCATGTCCATGTGACCACTTTAATAAGTCTCTGCCGACACACTTCTGACCCAAGAAGTGCACCGTAGGTTAAGTTTTACTTCTGCTATCTGCGTGTCTGTTAACATTGCCTGGCTGCCCAATCTCTTCTGCAAATGGACAAGTATCAAAAGTGAAAGAGGAAGGCCAAAAGACAATCTGACCACCTAGAATTCACACAATTAACTGGTACAGTACCTCTGGCAGCTCTGCAGTTCTCACACAGCCTGCAGCAGAATGGTTACTGATGATTAGCAATCATCAGACTGAAGATGGGGTTCTACTTGTTCTTCTGAATAAGAGACGCTAACACCAAAGATACTTTCTTTCTGAATTTACACCACGCCTACTTTAACAGAATTAACAGCTCTGTAGGATTTGGGACCGTAGAAGGCCAACAAAATTACTGTAAACTGATCACATTCAACTGCACTGATATGATTGTTAGCCAGAGACGCATGTCTCTGATCATTACGTCACTCTCAACAAAGGTTCTTATGGACAAAATGCTGAGTTTTTAACTTTGCGGCTCATGCTTTTTTTTTTTTAAGAAAGATGATGACAATGAAGACACCCAGACTTGGATACATTTCTCTTCTATTTTAGAGCTCATCGCCGTCTTGCTGCTTGAAGGACTGGCAAATGTGACATTCATGTTGCCTACATTACGCAACGAGAATTGTGTTTTAAGGCATCTTTCATTGCTGGCCACTGATAAGCTTTTACTGCTAAACACACTTCAACACCACGCTTGCAGTGTAAACTGCAGTTGGCCCTAAGCACCACCCTTCACCCCCTCCTGTTAAACAGCTCTGGAAACACAGGAAACAAAACAGCACACCAACGCGTCTAGTGTTATTTCTCTACTACTTACCGTGTTGTAGAGCTTATCAAATTCTGCATACCTCCTGAACACAAACCATTCATATCTTCCGACAGACACCAATACTTTGTAAACCTAGAAAAAGAGAGACCATGTTTGTCCGATCATTGCAGGAAAACAGGCAACACAACACACAGCATGTGCAACACTAATTAACTCGGCTCAGGTGTTCTCATACAGCTGGGTAGAGCAGAATTCCTGCGGGTCCGTTCAAATGAGCGTTACCACAGTAAAAACCACACCAGTGCCATTCTGTTCAACCCATCCAGCACTGTGGAGTACCAGCTGGGGAATGAGAGTTTGATATTACAGTCTTGCTTGAATGGCAGGTCATTTTAAAATTGCTGGCTCTGGGAGAGATGGAACATAACCACAGAGCACTGAAGCACTGAAAGGGCTTGCAGCATCAGCTGGGCCTGTAAAAACAGGATGAACATATAGTGTATCATCCTTGCCTCATCCTTCTAGAGTTTTATTTTTACATGCTTTCTCACATCGTGTCAAAATCTTGCGTTTACCTTCACGCAGGAGAACCTACAGTACGTGACGGGTGGCCTAGTTAAGGAAGACCACCTGAGATTAGAGAAGAAGATTAAACACGTATCACACTCTGTGTATCACATATCACCAGCACTTGTTGCCTTTAATATGGCTCACAGTATTCAACGTCTAAATTAACTGCTTTACAATGCAAGGATAAATAATTCCAATGAAGATTCTATAATAATATTAAAAGGGTTATTATCATCCTATAAGATCAGTTCCCTTGAACAATTACTTTGAGAAACACTTTCTGTGTAGGCACCTCAAGAGCAGGTTTAGGCCTATTGAGAGAAGCAGTGAGAAAAAGTGCCCTTTGCTCACAGTGTAGCGTTTCTTCTTGTCCCTCTGCTCATTATAGCAGGGGATGCTGACATTGGGGCAGCTGGCCTGGTCTTCCATGGCAGCCGCGCACAGGGGCAGGTCAAGATGAGCAGCAACAGGCCGGAGGTCGGAGGTCGGAGGTCACATGGGTCGGCGGTCTCACAAGGGCCTGATGCACGCCTCGCGCACGGCGCTCCCAGTCCGCATCGCAGGGCTCTGCGAAGATAAAACCCGAAAATACTTTATATTTCATGAAGGATTATGCTTCACAGGGCTAAGACACTAATCAAGCTCTAATATGACCTGCTTGAAGCACGTCCTCAAAAGCATGAAATCCCCCCCACGCGGAGAAAAGGACTTCAACTTGCATCCTCTTTACAGCTTGAGGAACGGCAATTTTTTTTTAAAAGGGTGACTCCGTACTTATTCTCACGAAACAGCTGAAGCCAAAATCCACCAAAAAGAAAAAGAAATCTCTAAAAAGGGGAAGAGTGAAGCACCTGTCAGGCAGACAATTCCGCCACAGAGAGGAAACAAGTCTTTTCCAGGACCGGTGGGAGATTCATGTGACTGGAGGAGCACATAAAACCTCACTGGTTTAAAAAAATACTTCAAATACTGGTCTTAAAAAATACTCCTCGGGGGCAAGATCTATTTTCCAGCTCTGTAACACACGGGATTAAAAAAACAAAACAAACTTTTGTTCTACCTCCAAGGACTGTCAGAACTGGTTATGAGACACTGCTTCATAAACCCAAAGCAATGTCGACCGAATTTTGCTTGAAAAAAAGTAACAATAAGAAAAACCTCATTCGGGAGCAAATTAGCTTTAAAAATTTGACCGTATTGTGCCTCTCAATCAGTGTTGCCTGTTGCCAGTCTGCTCCCAAGAAACAGCACCTAATACACCCATGTAGTCTAAAATAATATCTGGTTATTGTTAAAAACTACAGAGCTTCATATGGATCTTCAACAACCCTGCAGGTGAGGGAGCACCAGTCAGGCACAGAAGTGGCTGTCAGCAAACCAGCATGTTTAAGTGGTGCGTGAACTAAGTGCGTACTCAAATGCACAAACTTTGCATTCTCCGCAGAGGTAAGTCTTAAGACGCTGCTGACATGCACCGTTAAGAGGAGAAACCATTACTGAAGCTTCTAACTACTGAAAAAGACAAATGTCTCTATTCAGAAAACACTTCCAGTGAAACGAATGCAGCCGAAACCTAAGAACAACACTAAATGCTGTGCACTGTAAACTTCTGGGGGTGATTTTCTGTTTCGCAGATTGCTTAGGACCAGAATGGTAGGATTTACACAACGTGGTCTACTGTACATCTCTCTTTTTGGATCCGGATACTGCAGCCAGTCACTGAAATCCCCAAAGCTCACTTTTAATGCAGCGTTAGCTGGGTGTCTTTAAAGGCCCTTGTGTGCAGGGGCTGAAAAGAAGGGATTAGTTTGTTTAAGGAAACAAGTCAGACTCAAAAGGTAAGCTATAATACTCACAAGACTCCTGCTAGACGGCTGTGTACCTGCGGAATCTCTAGCAGCCCGAGTGAACTTGCTCTGACTTGCACAAAATATTTGGCTATATTAAAAAAGAGCACTCCTGCTGGGGCTTTCACAATCTTCTGGGACGCAATCATGTGCTAGCATGCATTTCATTCTTCCATAGCTATGGGAAAGGAATACTTACAGATTACATAAAAAGCTTTTCCCTACAATGCTAAAAATTCAAAAATAAAAGAAAGTTTCCAACCAAATGGAACTGTTTTCAAATTTGGAACTGTTCAATCAGAAGCGGTATTTCATTACGCTGGAAGCTGATGAATACAGGGCGACATCAGATCTCATGTTACAGACACAGGAAGCAAAAAGGTCTGCGTTGTGTTTCATAGATAAACAGCGAGGCCTTGATGTGGCACTTCTCCGGAATTCCAGGTCAGATCAAAACCTGATGACATTCATCAGCCGTAAAAAAATGAAAACATGGAAGTTTAAACACTGCAACAGAATACCGCGACTGTAACAAAAGGTGCTTCTCAGGAACACATGGGACAGAAAGGAGGTGGCGTGCCCTTCTTGAAGTGCTAGCTGGCACCTGCTGTATTGAAGAAACTCCACTTCACTGCATCACATGTGGTCTTTAAAGCCAGTAACAATATAACAAGTGCAAAATGACTTTTTAAAGTAAAGAGTCAAAAAAAATTCGTAAGACCATTATTGCTGGGGGCCATTATCTGTATACAGAGTATTTTTCAAAACACTGCAGAGCCACAGCTCAAATTCCCCTCTCTGAAACAGCTGGGAAGGAGAAAAGGCAGAAAGACCTCTGGGTTGGAGACTCAGGGCCTGGTGAACACACAGGACTGACTCGTCCATTTCCTTCAGATCACAATCTTCACACCTGCTTTACGTCACCTGCTGCTAGGTTTAAGCTTTAACATTCACATTCTTTCACATCCTGATGCCATTTCCAGACGTGATCCGAGTACACGCTCAGGAAGATGGAAACAACCATCAGAAAGGCACTTCGTGGCTTCGGACAAGCAGACTAGCAGCTTGGTTTGGAAATGAACTCAACTTCACAGGCGTTGCTTGGAATTGGCGTTTCCTATATGGGGGTCAGCCTATAAGCGCCTCGATTTTCCATAGCGAGAAAAGGCAGTGAGATCAGCAGTCCTTCCATCGATTTCCTAACTGTTTTATCCAGTTTATCCGGGCGAGCAACAGGCAAAGTCAGGGCACACCCAGGACAGGACACCAGCCCACTGCAGGGCCACACACAGAAAACAACCACAGACACGCACACACTCACATCAGGGTCACTCTTCCCAGAAGCCAATTAACCAACCAGTATGTTTTGGGACTATGGGAGAAAAGTCATGCGAACGTGGGGAGAGCACACAGACTCTATGCAGAAAGGACCCCCAAGGCCCAGAGGACGCGGAAGCTCTAGACAACTCCCCCTTCTTTTTTTTCGGCAGCTCTTGGTGTGAATTTGTGAGGAAGCGAGACACGATTTAGCCTCAGCCAGCGGAAATCATACTGGGACATTCCCTGTTGTTTCCCCAAGCTAAAGTGGCAACTACATTTTAAAAACCACCTCACCACACAAACAGTAGCCACTGAGCACCAATGTACATACTTAGTTAACAGTTAGAAGATGTACATGCAATTGTAATTATGATTAACCACACGTTAACCCATTGTGCAAACAAATCATATAGAGCAGCACAAGTCCAACACCAGGGAGAGAGAAATAATATAACACTTTTGATAACTAAATATCTGAATGAAATCTTCCAACGATTAGCTAATAGCCACCAAACATAATTGATAAGCTGAACAACTTGCTCACATTTTGCCTAACGGAAGAAACACTTTAGATTCCACAATGTTGGGCTTCTTCTCCCTTTGGTTAAAAAAAAAAAAGTTAGGAAACTATTGTTCCCCGTTCCCCCCTTCTCTTTTCTGTTCAATGAAGAAGGATGTAGAATAAAAAGAAAACAGAAGTGAAAACTGTTTCAAAGGACTGACAAAATTTCAGAGGTCAAAGCTTAAGTACATTTGCAAAACACCAGAGATCAAAGCTTAAGATCTACTCAGGCAGCCCTTCTCGATGATTCTAGAGTGAGTCTAAGTACTTTTAGTTTCCCTTCATCCACTGCATCTAAATTTGTCCAGATCAGCACCTAATAATGCATGGGTCTATCATCATTCAGTTAACTACGGCACAGTATCACATAAGCAAAATAGACTGTACAAAGACCCAAAAACATAGATAATGGACAAGGAACAATCTTTTTTACACATGAAATTCCCGTTAACATGATTGCGGTAAATACCCACAATACAGGAACCTGGACAGAGCAGTCCAATCACTTAAATGTTTCAGACAGGTTTGCATTGGCGCTGCGCAATGGTTTGAGGTTATGAAACAGTCATGAAGAAGTAAGAGCAGTAGAAATCTAATCACTTGCAAGCAGGCTGCCCAGTTCCTTTTTGAGTGCTGTAAACAGACACCCACTTACAGCACAGCACACTCGGTGGAGGCTGCAGACACATTCAATTGAGCCACACATGAAACTTCATATGTAAGAGGCTGAGGGTCTGCTCAATGACAAAGCAGTTCAGTTGACTGTAATGGCAAACAACAGCACAAGGTAGATGTTACTGACAGTATTTCAAAGCAAACACCAAAAGACCTGTTGATGAAGTGGTATCTTAAACTTGAAAAAAACACAGAAGATGATTTTGAACTTTGCTCCAAATACATGTAAATTCTGCACATAGCAGCTGAAAGTGAGTAAATAACATTAAGGGCATTTTCAAGACAAAACAAAATTCAGTAAGCTAATATATGTTTCACATGAAACACAATTTGAACCATCTAAAGTAGATCATAAACATACCCAATAAAATAATGTGACCATCTTGTCAAAGTAAAGAAACTATACTTATTAACTTTCATTTAATGTTGTTTTACTTACTATATTAATTTGTATTTAACGGTCACTATTGTTATTGCCTTTGTTTTATGTGTATTTTGCCACTGTATTGTGTGGTGAGACTGTCATGAAAGGAGCTATATAAAACATGATTATGATACTTGCCATCAGCTAAGTACAGACGTAAGTACAGATACCTTGCACAGTAAGTGTATTAAGGAGAGATAACACAGCTCATCTAAGTTGCAGTGTTGCACACAAACTATAGGGAGAAAACTGAACTCTATGGCAACAAGCAAAAATTTTTTTTTTTCATTTTAGCACTGAAGTTACAGCCTGAAATGTCACTGAAGAGCAGTGAGGCCGTGCCTCTCGGCACTGTGATTTGCTTTGCATCTTGTCTGAGATGAGGTCCGTTTTCCTGTTTAACAGGAAAGCATGTCCATCCCTCTGTTAGGAAAGCCGGTTTCTTCCATACTTTGGGGTTGCGGATCAAAGGAAAGGACGAGGACAATGAACACGTTTGTCCCGAATGTCATTCCAGCTTCACTTTTAGTTAGATGGAAAATTGTCCCCAAACTTTGATAGGCCCACAGATCGCGGTTGATTTAATATTGGTTTAAACAAGTTAGCATTCATATCATTGCAGCGCCACATTTTAAAATTGCAAACACTTGTTGAAACTGCCCAGGCACAGGTCTCACTGCCCTTTTGAATTCTGATAAGATGCCTTGACCACTGCCGTGCTCCTCTAAAAGAAACGAAA